AAAACGCCTCCGGAGCTCCCCCCAGCGCTGACCCTGCAGAGAGGAGAGGGGCAACGCCGGTTCCCGCCGGAAGAGGGAGTTGAAACCTTCACCCGGGGTTCACAGCGCGCCCACGAATCCGAAAAAAATCATAGGTGCAGCTGGTGCCCCCCACCCCCGGCGTCCACCGCCGCGTAGGAAGGTGGTGCGTTTGATAAGGAGGGTGGTTGTGAAGCGTATGGCAAGCACGCGCCGGCACACCGGGATCCCCGATGGTTTTCCACGTGGAGAGTTATTACTGCACCGTATGCGGGCCTTTCTGGCTTCACCCTAGGCTGCAGCCTCTTGCCGTACCGCCTTCTAAGAAGGGAAAATTGCAGTTGCATCTAAGGGCAGTGAGAACGCTTTTTGCGGTCACACACTACTACCATGCCTGTGTATAGTCGTGACGTGGTGCAAACTGAGATTTCCTTAGCAAACTCACGCTGTGACCCTTGTAGCTCAAACCCCCTTGTGAGCCAAACCCCTCTAACGCCACGTATTTCAGATTTCTCCTGAACTTCTGCAAAAGGGCGATTAGCTCACGCAGTCGAATGGAGCGCAGAAAGTAGATAGGATCTCTGGAGAGCAGCCGTATCTTCACGGCAAATAAGCACACGGAGCTCGAACGGCACTGCCCTTTTCCCTTAACAGCGGTTCCAAACTTAACACTTTCAGCTAAAAGCACAAATGTCCAGGAGAGCGCTGGGGGACAACAGCTCCTGGTTAGTTACACATTACCTGTTAGCAAACTACCTGGGCCGTACAACACACCTCTTCGGTCTGTGCTTTAAATTGCCCTGAATTGAAGCCGTTGCACGTCACGACATCCACCTTTGTAAGCCAGTAAAATATTGTCATGTAAAAATGCACATATCTACTTAAAATAAAAGCTTCTCACTGCCACATAACAAGCCCCGGTGTGATTGTTTGGGCCGGGTGACGTGGGCAACTGTTGGCTTCTGAGAGGTGCATGCGTGCCTCTCCCCCCTGCAAGCAAAGCAAACGCTCAGAAGCGGCGAGGGACAAGCACAAGCTCTCGATCCACCTCCTTTACGCAGGACGCTTGTTTCCCCAGGAAGGTCATGTGCTCTCACGGCACGGGGATTTATAAATAACCTTGTGTGGGAAAAGCGGTGGGACCTGGGGGGAGCTGTGTCCTTTCTGGAGCCGGTCTCTTCGCAGTCGGGATGGGGTGCTAGGAGAAGAGTCGGGTTGGCAGGACTAACTGTGCTTTGAAAACCAGAAACATCTGCCTTCTCACATGCTGTGGTGACTCCAGGGTTTGCTTCACTGCCGAGCTGCTGGGATAACACTGTTTTCTCTCTTGCTTACATGCACCATCTCATGGAAAACTGACCAACAGGTGTTTCAGGGCACCCCTGAAAAAAGAGTGGATTTTCAGTACGAGATTAGCCACAATATTGTGTATTTGCATTTTCCACACAGAATCTCTGTGAATTCTTTCAAAACTGAACCAAGCGCAATGTGACATCCCACCCCCCTTCCCTCAGCAGGTCTTTTCTGTTCTCTGCAGTCTATCTTCTACTTTGCTCCTTTTCTCTAAACTCTGTTTTTGCTCAGTTCCACCTCATCTCCCCCAAGTCCTCTCCTTTGCTAATCTTAAATGACATTTATGGTCCCTACTTATCTCCGGTCGAAAGGCCAAATCCTGCTTTCTGTTCAGCCACGATCCCAGAATTTTTCACCCACTTTTAAAGTATGTACATTCCCGCTTTCTCCAATGCTACCGTTCAGGTTTGGAAATGGTCCCCTACAAACACACGCGAGCCCAGCTAACTTCACGTTTCCTCTTAAAACTCTCCTTCGGAAAAAACCAAATGACAACAGTTGAACTATCAGTTTTTTGAGATTCTCACCAGTCGCACCCATTCATCAGGTCGTACCGTTCCTCTGCTCCCATCACCTTGTATTTGGACTGAAAACTATTGGTAGCACGTACCCTCTTTGATTTTCGATGAAGAGTGGACTTTCTATAGTCAAAGCATCCCTTTATATATGGAAACAGGAGGAATGTAATC